TAGAGTTGATATGCAGAGGGATTACAGTTACATGAATCAGGTAATAAGTAATGAGTACGAGTACAATTCTTCTTCTTTGTTTTTTTTTTTTTTTGGTCTGGTCGTGGGGCCTGAACTCTGGACCTGGGCGCTGTCCCTCAGCTCTTCAGCTCAAGGCTAGCACTCTATCACTTGAGCCACAGCGCCACCTCTGGCTCTTTTCTTTTTGCTTATGTGGTGCTGAGGAATCAAACCCAGGGCCTCATGCATGCAAGGCAAGTGCTCTACCACTGAGCCACCTTCCCAGCCCAATGCCATGATTTTCTGCATATGGAATCAAAGTTTAGTTTACACTAAAGATGCAATGAAAGTTGTAGAGATTAGTATCATTGACTTAGAAATGAATATGACATTGAGAACGTCATCCAAAACATTTTCTACAATGTCTTAAATGTTCTTATTACTCCATGGCTGTCCCAGACAACTGTTGATATTTTACTTTGTTCTTGAATAAACACAATTATGAAGTTCCACGTGCTTTTCATTTTTATCACTAGTATTTTGAATCAGATGAAGTATATCACACTATTTCTTGGTAGGTAATGTACAAGTGAGTTGAGATTGTTAGTAAATAATAATATTCAAAGAGCCACAACTTATCTGCTGATTTGATCATTCCTGTTATTATGCTTACTTGAAACATCTTTTAGTTTAACTGTAATTTAAAACTGACAATATAGCAGGATAAAAAGACTTTGAAAAATAGCTGGATGCTGGTGGCTCACGCCTGTAATCCTAGCTACCTTTGGAGGCCAAGATTTGAGGATCATGGCTCAAAACTATCCCCAGCAGGAAAGTCCATGAGACTTATCTCCAAATGTGGCACAGTGGCTCAAGTGGTAGAGCACTAGCCTAGAGCTTGAGCACAAAAATGCCTCAGGGACAGAGCCTAGGCTCTGAGTTCAAGCCCTAGCACCAGCAAAAAAAGAAAGAAAGAAAGAAAAGAAAAGAAAAGAAAAAAAAGAAAATAACCATATTCTAAATGTTTTTGAAAATGTAGGCATCCAGAACAACAGATCTACAAAGCAGTAACTTTATGGTGACACTCTAGTCTAGTCTCCCTATGTCTATGATTCTTGAATGAACCATTAAGCCATTGTTTAAGTAGTTTAATTCTGAAAATTACCAGTCATTTGTAACTGCTTCGCTAATGAATATGCACATTGCTGAAGCTTTGAGATCTGCTTCAATGGAAGAAAATAGAATGTAAGAACATGTATGTGAAAATGTTTTTCTCACTCCTAAAGTCCAAGAAAATGTCAGATTAAAATTATTATTGCACAGGAAAAGAAAGATGCAGGCTTGGAACAGAAGAGGAGGTATGAAGAGGGGCATGAGAAACCACTTCCCACCCTAAACTGAATATTGAGAGGAAACAAGCATCACTTGCTCACCTCCCTTGTTTAACTAATGTGAAAACAGCATGCAGGGCAGAGGCCACACAGCTGGAAAACCTTACAACCCACACACTGTCTTGAGTCTTTCTCTTTTTACAGCTACTAGGAATTCATAATCAAATGTTCTTCAATGATCTTTAAATTCAAAAATTAAAAAGAATTTTGTTTCAGGCAAATTCAAGTTCATTAAAATACACAGATGGACAAAAGAATACTTGCAGGTTTGTACCTCACATTTCTGGAATAAAATCTAAATAAAGACTGCAACTTCTTTTTTTCAACTGAAACAGAAGTTCTGGAGCTGAGAAATTCTGGAGTATCCTTAGAGAATAGATGAAACAGGAGAGCATCTGTGAGCAGAGGACAGGCCCCGAAAAAAAAAGTGGAAGGAAATGGAGGGAAAACATGAAAGAGAAACCAAGAAAACCTATGGAAACTTTAAGATAGTAATAAAAGAGCAAACATTCAGGTAATTGGGATTCTTTTTTTAAAAAAGAGACTTGAGAATGCCAAGAGAGAGAGCATATTCAAATAAGTTAAGACTTCACAAACATAACGATATTTATGTGAACTTGAACTCAACCAAATCTATAAAATATCTTATTATCAAGCCATGATAGGTAATTATCAAGGTTGAAACAGCAAAAACAAAAAAGAATACATACGTGTCCTTTGATTTACCTGATAGATAACTTGTCACCAGAAAAGTTATAGGCTATACGAGAGGTACATAAAATTTTCACAAAACCGAAGGAAAAAAATAAGCAAGCAAGCAAACAACAAAAAATACTGTCAGCTAAGAACACTACACCCATCAAAACTATCTTTGAGAAAAGAAATCTTTAATGATGTTCCCCGGGAAAATGTGGGTAGAGAATGTATTTGCAACTGACCTGTTCTACAAGAAATGCTAAAGTTCTTCAAAATAAAAGCAAAGGGCACTGAAAAAGGAGAAAACAAGGACATGGAAAACACACCAGTCAAAGTAAATGTTGCAAATATTATAAGCATGGTATGTTCATATCCTTAGTATGCCAACTTAAAAAAAACAATGAAAAACAAGGACAAATACGTTCTATGTTAAGTAATAGGATGTGAAATATAGAATGATGTAAAAGAGGATATCAAACATTCAAAAAACAGAGAGGAATCAAATCACATGTGAGTGTTTTTGTTCTGAGTATTTTCTCTTGTTCTTTTGTTTGTTTCTGCGTATGTCATTATGATGTTGTTAAGCTTCTATTAGTTCAAAATAGCTTGTTGTAATCCAAAACAAATCTTTCAAACCTCATGGTAACCACAAAGCAAAAGCCTGTAAGGGACAAATCAAAAATAATATGTAAGAAGTCAAAGCAACTATTTGAGTAATTTACTTAACCAATAAAGAAGATTAAAAGAAAGGGAGGCAAAAATTAGCTGTTGTAAGAACTCACAAGGAGTAACACAGCAAGTGAATATAATTACCTATGATTCAAGTACATTATAATTTCTCTGTGTACGGCCTATACAAAAGTTAAAATTAATAGCTAATACATAAAATACAATTATTTTGAATGTTGTTTTTGGTATTTGAAAAGCTCTTTCATACCTTTGTCCAGTTTCTAAGACTGTTAAAATGTTTTCTTAGAATTGTCCATTGATGACTGCTGGGTCAGTTTCTGGCTCTTTTTTTGAAGATTAGGTGTAGTCATGGATTCCTGACACTTGGATGTGTGAAATGCCAGAGGGACATCAAAGGACCTGGGATTTATTCCAGTTAGGCCCATCTGGCCTCTGAGCTTGTGGCCACTTGAACTGTTTTGTCAGTAGATGGCGCTCAGGCCCAGATGGACCCAATTGTTGCAGTACTAGAGGGCAATCCAAGCCCAGTTTCACAATTTGAGCCCACCGCAAATAGTCTGCTGGTTCATTACACCGAAAACAATAAAAGAGTATTGGGAAAGTTACATATCTAAGCAAACCTCTGCCTGTAGCCAGGGTGTTCATGGATGCCTTATTCACAGTTACTGGCCTTTTATCAAACACTAGGAATCTGCTTGGCTCTGGGGAGAGCTACCATGGATGGGCCAGCCCTATGCACCTGCATCACACTTGTGGCTATGAAAGCTATTGATCTATGTCACATTGTGAGTCTACAGTCCACTTAAACCAGCACAATTTTGCATGATGTTCAAGGCTCATGCTTCTCTAGAATGCCTATTGCTAAGTTGTACTTGTGGCCAACCAGCCACACTTGATGGTAGCTAGAAAAGAAGCATGACTTCTGCAACTCTGCCAACCTGTAAGCACTAGCCTGGGAGAGCTGCCTTGCCAGATATCAGGGGAGAGGTAGAGGAGGAAGTCCCTTGGCCACAAGAGCTGACCCCAGACCTAACCTAAGGACATTTATTGTAAGCTCTATGTGGTGGCAGGGCCTTGAGTTTCTATTTCTACTAGGTGCTTGGTTCTGAGTTCCTAGATATAGCCCGGGGCCAGTCTTTGTGCCCTGTAGTCCCTAGAAGGTAGCATCTAGTTCTCCGCTCTACCTAATGAAATTGCAGTCGGGTTAATGGAGATATTCTCTTGCCACCTGGCCTAATACAGTTTCTGGAACTCAGTCCAAATAATTCACCAGACTGTGGAGGATGAAGGACATTTCCTGACAAGATGTTTCACCATGGCAGACCTGGTCCTGGGTCTCAAGTTTAACGCCTCCCCTCATGTGGGAGGAGCTTCTCCATGTCTATGTGGGAGGAGCTTCTCCATGTCTATGTGGGAGGAGCTTCTCCATGTCTATGTGGGAGGAGCTTCTCCAGGTCTATGTGGGAGGAGCTTCTCCAGGTCTATGTGGGAGGAGCTTCTCCAGGTCTAAGTGGGAGGAGCTTCTCCAGGTCTATGTGGGAGGAGCTTCTCCAGGTCTATGTGGGAGGAGCTTCTCCAAGTCTATGTGGGAGGAGCTTCTCCAGGTCTATGTGGGAGGAGCTTCTCCGTGTCTATGTGGGAGGAGCTTCTCCAGGTCTATGTGGGAGGAGCTTCTCCAGGTCTATGTGGGAGGAGCTTCTCCAGGTCTATGTGGGAGGAGCTTC